TGACCGCGTAGGTAAATTAAAGTTGTAGTACGTACATATTGTGCTGACATAAAGCCAGAAAAGTAAATTTTTTAATACTAGAAGGTGTTAAATACTAAAAACACCTAAAATTAGGATATTTCGGAAAATTATTTGAATATTATACCGTCAGTATTATCCGTTTTCTGTTTGAGTACATAACACGATGGGTCACAAAAAATAGACGTGATTATTTTACATATTGTAGCCAAGAATGCTATTGCTGTTTGACGAACACCATAATTACTTGACGCTTAACATAATATCCCTTTGATCTTGTCTGTAAGATTCGAAGCAACATCTGCGTGCAGTGTTGAACTTAAGTGCACTGTCAACAAATGTAAATAGGATGAGCAATCTAGTTAACGTATTCAAGAAATAGAACAAAGGCAAATGTTACCTGTGTATGCAAAAATATGTAAAATTATATTTCTTTATTTATTACATGGGATAATTAAAAGATTATTAAAAAGCTACACAATCTATACCCAATTTTCGTAGTGGTCCTCCTGTGTCAGACACCCTGTATATATAATATGTAAATGCATATATGTTTACATATAGAAATTTTATATTGTGCTGATTTATTAATACTGGAGTTGTTATCTGTACAAATTATAATGTGAATAATTAAGAAACTTGATTTTGTGGTTCATTTCATAATTCCAAAATTATATTTCTCAGAAATGGATATATTACATATAATATCTGATTACACACCTTAATAAATAAAATGTATCTTCACGGATTACAAATAATTCTTAACACATATAGAATATGAAATATTTTAAATTTCTTTATACGTGTACGTATACCTATATGTATACCTATAGTTATAAGCATAAAACACTATTTCTATTCACAACGATTCTCTACTTACAATCACATACGCAGAAGAATATTTAAAACCCGTTTTCTATGTTTATACTATATAGATTCATTGCTTATTATTAGACAGATTTTCCTCGCAAGTATTTGACATGTACAGGAATTGGACCAAGATTGCTAGATTCGTCGTAACGCTACCTACAAACTAAAAAACAATATCATTAAACAAAGCTAAATTAAACAAACCTACCTTTATTGAATAAAAGTCAATAATAAATCACTTACCACAGTTACCAATGTAGTGTCCATATTAATCCACTTCGTGGAAAATACATTTTCACAATGTAATAGTTGCAAGGAAAAAAGGTTCAACTATAATGTTAGAAAAAAATTGTCAAATACAGAATTGTCAGAGAGAATTTGATAAGTTAATATATTATACATCGATTCACAGTATACGCGGGACTTGATTTGGAAAATGAATTAAATATACCACTGAGAATATAATTCCTTTTAATTTACCTCGTATTTTATTTGCTTATTGTTAGTGTTGTTTAATACTTCGCGAACAGTGCTTTTGATCTCTAGTGCTTGATTCTTGCCGGTTTCGCAAGCCCATAGTATCATTCCTAATGTAATAATGTAACACATTATACATAGATTGAATGAAGTACTTGAAAAGAGCCTGACTTTCATAATTGGTCAGGATCGAATTATTTTGTATTAACAATCTGAAGCAAAAGTACATATTGAAAGTGATATTAGCGAAAGCCATAAGTATCGTAGCAACGAGTTGCAATCTGAAGACCATATTTAGCATCCGTACTGCGTCGTTGATTGCCAAATGCTGCTTTTTCAGAGCTGTGATCTCCAGCAGTATGAAAGGAGTTCTCTGCGCACTATAGGTGCCGCTCAGAAGGCATGGCTCACCATTCGTAAAGAGTTCTCGCAAATTCATCAAACTGTCATTGATTTGCTTGAAACAGGCTTTCAATATACAAACACAATCCATATACAGCATATTCATTAGAAAATTCAGGAGTACCATGTATAGCGCAACAAGTTTGCGGAAGATGCTAACGTTCTGTAGCATTGTCGAATAGTGTTTCACCAATGATATAATTATAAACAGGATAACGAAAATGTCCTTAGCGTGAATTAATCTAGATAAATTCTGAAACGATTGCGGTGGTAATTTCGATGAAACCTCCATTATGGTCTGAAGAAAACGCATTCGTGGTTTAGTCAAAATCAATGTAGTGACTACTATAAATCCACCAAAAACGTACACGCTCGCCTGTTCAAGTAGCCTGGGTGTCTCTACGTCTGTGACTATTGGCATATTTTTAGCAATAATAATATCATTAAATACTATTGAATAGGCAGTACAAAAAACGCACATAACGATGGTCGATAAAATATAGCTTGGTTTGTAAGTCTTGATGTTCGAGGCGTTGAACTTGTATGAAAACAGTCCCATAATGCGGCACACAGTGAAGCAAGGATACATCAACGATGCAAAATCCGTAGCGCGGAATAGCAACCATATGTTTCTTTTTCTTTCTTTTCCCCTTTTGTCTTTTCTTTTATTCTTGAGTCGTTTTTGAAAATTTGATAAGAAATTGAATATCTTCCCCGAAATTATAGGAGAAGGATAATATAAATCCTAGACTATAGTCTGATAAACACTAATTATGTTATCAATGCACTCCGGTATCAACGTTGCGTTTGCAAATATGTCTCTTGCAAGTGTAAGTTTTTTGGTAACTCTACGACAAATGCGTAAACGGACATAAACTTTTCAAAGACTATCTACACCTGGAGAATATAATTTTACATCTATTAACAATTGTATGACACAAGAAGGCTCTGAAACTGCTACTTCATGATGTAATTACAGCTTTTTGCCTATCATCTCGAATCATAAAGTAATAATATATAATCGTTGTATCATAATTCATGTCTTGCACATGCAGAACATGTTTAGTTAAACATTGGATAGACGTTATCCTGATATCTCACGATCTTCCATTAGATTACAGTATAGGTAAATTAAAGTTGTAGTAGGTACACATTGTGCAAGAAATAAAGTCGGAAAAGTAATTTTTTTAATAATAAGAGATGACAAAACTAGGATGTTTTTGGAAAAATATTTCATGTATATGGAAAAATATATATAATTATATTCCTTTATTTATTATGTGGAATAACTGAAAGATCAATAGAAAAACCATTTAAGACTATTTTACAGAAACAAAATGAATTTTACGCTTTAAATAAACATTATGTGAAAAATATGTATCTTCTTTACAGATATCGCGTTTCATTTAGTTAGAAATATTTGTGTATAAAGGGAAGTCCCCCATTATGACACAGTTTCCTACTACTAGAGAGACAGCAGGATTTCTGCTAAATTAATGAACATCTTCTGTTGATTCCAGCAATATCTGTTTAGGGAAAAATTCATTGTTGTATAGTGTACTCGTGGCGAAAAAAAAAGTTTTATTGAATTTTACTGTTGAAAACCTTCTATCTCTTATTTGAAGTCTATCTCATAATACGGAACTTTCCTCTACTATTTCACATTAAATGTTTCAAGTTAAATAATAAATGTAAAAAACAAAATATATTTGTGTTTTTGAAGAAATATTATCTAACATTTAGTACATCAAGATCAGAAAAATTGAAAATTAAGTTATTAACAATTAATTATTAATAATTATTACTAGTTACCAATAATTATACTGCGAATTAATAGGATAGTTGATTTTGTGGTCTTCTGATTACAACTGAGTATCAACACATATGAAATATAACATTGTTTTGAATTTTTTTATACGTATATGTATATCTATTATTATTATAAGCGTAAAGCACTATTCTATTCACAACAATTACATTCAATATACACAAATATTCTACTAACAATCACATAAGCAAAAGAACATTTAAAGTGTATGTTTCCTATCTTTAAACTAGATAGATTTATTACCTAAACAGATTTTCAACGCAAGACTTTGACATGTACAGGAATTGGACTAAGATTAGTAGATACGTGGTAATGTTACTTATTAACTAAAAATAAAACAATGTCATTAAACAAAGCTAAATTAAACACCCTTACATTTATTGAATAAAAATTAGTAAGAACTCACTTACCGATTTAAAGAGTGCAGCATCTATAATAATCCACTTTGCGGAAAATACATTTTCACAATGTAATACTTGCAAGGAAAAGAGTTCCAACTAAAATAACAAAACAAAAAAGGGTCAAATACAGAATTGACAGATACAATCTGATATATTTACAAATCTCATAAACTAATATATTATAAATCGAATTTGTATACATGGAACATGATTTGAAAAATACAGGAAATATGCCACTAAGGTTACAATTTCTTTTAATTTACCTCGTATTTTATTTGCTCATTGTTGGTGTGGTTGAATACGTCGCGAACTGTGCTTTTGATCTCCAATGCTTGATTCTTGCTAGTTTCGCAAGCCCATAGTATCATTCCTAATTTAATAATGTAATACGTTATAAATATAATGAAGTACATGTAAAGCGAATGTCTTTGTAGATCGGTCATGGACACACTATTTTTTATTATCACTATGAAGTAAAAGTACATATTGAAGATGATATGAGCGAAAGCCATAAGTATCGTAGAAACAAGTTGCAAACTGAAGACCATATTTAGCATCCGTACTGCGCCATTGATTGCCAAATGCTGCTTTTTCAGAGCTGTGATATCCAGCAGTATGAAAGGAGTTCTTTGCGCAGTATAGGTGCCGCTCAGACGGCATGGCTCATCATTCGTCAAGAGTTCTCGCAAATTCACCAGATTGTTGTCGATTTGCTTGAAACAAGCTTTTAGTATACAAACACAATTCATATACAGCATATCCATTTGAAACGCCAGGTGGATCACATATATGATAACAATTTTTTGCAAGACGTTCATGTTCGATGGAATAAAGGCTCCCCACAATATTAGAATTAGAATCAAGAAAAAGAAAATGTCTTTAGCATGAATTAATCTGGATAAGTTCTGAAACGATTCCGGGGGTAATTTCAACGAAATCTCCATTATTGTTTGAAGAAATCGCATTCGTGGCCCCGTCAAAATGAATGTAGTGGTTACCATAAAACCGCCAAGAATGTAGAAGGAGAGAACTTCAAGTGTCCTGGGTACTCCTATCTCTGAGAATTCAATCTCTCTAGCTATATTGGCTTCATAGAAAGACAGTGAATAGATAGGGCAAAAAATGCACATAACGATGGTGGATAGAATATAGCTTGGTGTGTAAGTCCTGACGTTCGAACCATTGAACTTGTATGAAAATAATCCCAGAATGCGGCAAACAGTAAAGCAAGGGTACATCAACGATGCAAAATCCATAGCGCGGAATAACTGCCATATATTACTTTTTCTTTCATCCTTGAGTCCTTGAAACTGTGATGACGAATCGAACATCTTCGCCGAAGTTATGGAAGCACGATAATATAAATCGTATAGACTATAGTCTGAGAAATATTTATTACGTTATCAATGCACTTTGGTAACCACGTTGGCAAAAATTTCTCTTCTAACAATAAGTGTAAGTTTCTTGGCGATTCTACGACAAATACGTAAATCGATATAAACTGCTCGAAGACTACACCTGGCCAGTTTCATTTTGAAACTATTAACAGTTATCGCATCATGTAACGAAAGAGAACTCGAAAATTCGTAATTCATAATGCAATTATGGCTTATTACTTTTCTACTTCAACTTCTCTGAAACATAAAATAATTATATATCGCTGTGTACATAATTCTTGCCTTGCACATCCGGAACATGTTCAGTTGAACATTATCAAGATATTCGCAATCTTCCATTAGATAACTGTGTAGGTAAATAATAGTTCTAGTAGGTACATATTTTGCTGATATAATATAAAGGTAGGAGTAGAAAGGCAAATTTTTATTTTAAATAGAAACAGGCAAAGCTTATAGCATATGTTAGAGAATTCCTCGTGGATACTCACAGCTGATAGTAACTGTTTTGTGTTTCCATACTTGATGGGTCACAACAATTACACATGATTATTTTATCTTGAGAATACAATTGTTGTAATTTTTAAAGGCATTTTTTTATCGATCTTATTTTGTATGAACGAAATGTGAGTAATATAATTAGTGTTTTATAAATTATTGATTTACAAGATCTAACGTTGAGTATAAAATTGAAGAGAAATTTTCATTTTTAAAAGATTATTGAAAATTGATAAGCAATATGCCACACAAATATCGAAAGATTCTTTCTTCTTATCGCTGCACTTTCGTCAATTGTGTCGAGACGAAGCATTCTTCTCTATTTCTATCATACAGCGGTAAAGTATTTAATTTTGTACGTACATTGCATAAATCATTCCTTCGTATCGCGAATAAAAATCATTATAATGGCTAGAGATGTCTCGAGCTGAAAGAAATTTCACTGCAAAGGAAACTCACTTGCCGTCTAAATATCTGTCGATTTTAAAGTTCGAAAATTGAAGAGGACGAAAAGGAAAAATCCGCGATATTTATCTTATATCCTCTTTGACATTCCGATCTCACGAAACATACATCTTTGAACAGCAGATAGTGATCGATGATTAAACTATAGATATTGTCGAATGATAATTTCAAGCGAACGTTAACGTAGCAAACAGAGAATAGTCGGCTGCTAACTTGAATAGATATTAACACCGAATGGACTTTTGACCAATGTACTGATCCCATCCGTGTTTCAAAATAATTTTTAATCTTACGAGTGTTTGCAAATTAATTTCTCGGCGCACACACACGCACAATTTCGTATTACGTAAATAGCTAATCTTACTTTACATCTG